TTGATAGCTTGAAGCACTTCCAATATGGTGACACTGGCGTTGAGGGCCATCTGCGCTGCCTCAGATAATATAGGAAGTCGGAGATCTTGGAAGAATGCTTCTGCCTGAGCCACAGGGAAGGGATCTGGTTTAGCATAAGGCGCGAAAGGAAGTCTGCAAAACGGGAAACAATCTGCTGGGGATTAGAAGTACAGCCACCAGAGGGAAGTCGCAATCGGATCGGTTTGTGTGGTTTCCCCACAGAATTGAGTTTCCTGGCCAGCATCGGGTTGGGTGTCTTTTTAACTACTTGTCCTCCAGAGGATTTACCCCCCTTCCTGACCAGGCCATTTTTTGTGTTACAGCACTGTGTTACTTTGACAATTGCGCAGTCATGCAACGTTGCACCCAAATGAAATTTGCATCCTTTTTTTCCCACTAATTGAGCTTTCTTTCAGTAGTGTTTGATTGCCTGTGCATTTTTTATTTTTTGCTCTATAAAAAGAAAAAACAATTTTGAGAAAAAAAAGCTATATTTTTTTACTTTTTGCAATTAAACATGTCCAGTAAAAATTTTTTAAAATAAAATTTCGTTAGAAATTTAGGCCAAAATGTATTCTGCTATATGTCTTTGCTAAAAAGAATCCCAATTCGTGTAAATTAGTTGGTTTACGTGAAAGTTTACGTGATAGCGTTTACAAATGGCAGTATATATACTGGGATTTATTTTTTTTTTTTACTAGTAATCGCGGCGATCAGCGACTTATAGCAGGACTGCGGCGGGCATTCTGACACTAGGGGGGAACTGACTTGGTGTCACTGACATCCCCATTAACACCAATACAGTGATCAGTGCTAAAAAGAGAGCACTGACACTGTACTAATGGCATTGGGCAAGAAGGGGTTAACATCAGGGGCGATGAAAGTGTTAAGTATGTGCTGTGTGCTCTTTTACTATGTGCTGTGTCCGTGTGCTTCACTGTAAGCACAGTGCTTTGCATGGCTGTGCCGAGCACAGCCATCCAAAGCAGTGTGCACGAGCTAACAGGAAGGAGAACTGTTTTGTTTACAAACAGCTCTCCTCCCCATCGGAGATGCTCGGCAATCACCGGGCGTCGGCTAGTAATCACCAGCCGGGACACGAATAGCGGCACAGGTAAGGTGCGCGTCCCTACCCAGAAATGCAAAATCACGCATATATATGTGATTTTGTGCAGCTGTGCCACCCTGTAGCAGTATTTCTGCTATAGGGTGGTCAGGAAGTGGTTAAATATTGGGCAAGTGGTCAGAACACAATTTTCAGGTTTTTTTCCTGCAAATAAATTACATTGCACTGTTTATTTGTAGAATGTTATATAAATGAATACATAGCACAGTGGCTAAGTGGTTAGCACTTCCTCCTAGTAGCACTAGGGTTGTTGGTTCAAATCCCAGCTATGGCACTACCATCATGGAGTTTGCATTTTCTCCCTGTGCCTGTGTGTGTACTGAGCAAGCCAATATTTGGGGACTTTTTTGCACATGAATAACACTCAAATGCTGGCTTCTATATTTAAAATAAATGTTGGATGTCCTATTCTCACTGGGGCCTTGTAGAAACTATTAAACACTAGGCACATAGTTACAACATTATTTTGAGGGCTTTTTTTGCAAATAAATTACATTCTAATGTTGATTTCTCCAGTGTAAAATTGATGGTTGAGGATCCAGCTCAAAATAGGACCTACTACAAAAGAGTAAATACTGGTCATGTAGACACATTTTGTGGGGTTTTTTTTGTGCTTTTTTTTTGGTGGGGTGGGGGAATTAAATAATACTTAAATATTGATTTCTGTATTTAAAATTACAATAGGTATATACAGTGTATGATTAAATAATGCACACATAGCCGTAACAATATTCTGGGGGATCGTCTCTGAATAAATGACACTCAAATGTTGATTTATAGATTGTAAAATGGATGTTTGGGGTTCTGTTCAAAATAGGGCCTACAAAATGATATAATAATGGTAAGGTAGGTAGAACAGTATTTTGGACACTTTTTTCTACAAATAAATGACACTCAGATGTTGATTTAAAGATTGTGAAGTAGGTGGTTGGGCTCCCGAAACAAATATTTGAATACTAAACATATAGGCACAATATTTAGGTTTCTATACTTACCTGTTCTGTAGCACTGTCTCCCACAGACTTACTAATCCAGCTATGGTGAGCCACTCTTTTTTCAGCTTCAATGACACCCAGCATGGTGAAGTGTCACTTTACATTGTTAGTCAGCTGAGAAGTGTCACCATACATTGGTGTTCAGTAGTAAAGTGCCCCCTTACATTGATTGTCAGTTGCATAGAGCCCCCTTGATTTTTTATGTAGGTGATGAAATGCCCCCTCACATTGGAGGTCAGTGGTGAAGTGTCCTCTTATATTAGTAGTCACTGGTGAACTGTCCCCTTCAATTTGTGGTGATGTGCCCCCTATATTGGTAGTCAGGGTGAAGTTCCCCCTTACATTGGTGATAGGTGGTGAAGTTCCCCCTTACATTGGTGATAAGTGGTGAAGTTCCCCCTTACATTGGTGATAGGTGGTGAAGTTCCCCCTTACATTGGTGATAGGTGGTGAAGTTCCCCCTTACATTGGTGATAGGTGGTGAAGTTCCCCCTTCCATTGGCAGTCAGTGGTGAAGTGCCCCTTCACATTGATGGTCAGTGGTGAATGCTACTTTACATCAGTAGTCAGTGGTGAAGCGCCCGTTTACATGAATAGCAGGTGGTGACGTACCCACTCACATTGGTGGTCAGTGGTGAAGTTCCTCCTTACACTGGTAGTCAATGGTGAAGTGCCCCTCACATTAGTCATAGGGGGTGAATGCCATTTTACATCGGTAGTCAGTGGTGAAGTGCCCCTTTACATTGATAGTAGGTGGTGAAGTACCCACTCACATTGGTGGTCAGTGGTGAAGTTCCTCCTTACACTGGTAATCAATGGTGTAGGGGGTGAATGCCACTTTACAAGAGTAGTCAGTGGTGAAGTGACCCCTTACATTGGTAATTAGTAGTGAAGCGCCCCCTTATGTTAGTGGCATGTGGTGAGATGCCCCCTTCCATTGGTTGTAGGTGGTATAGTTCCCTTTTACATTGGTGGTCAGTGGGAAGAATACATACAATTGCAATTATAATATTTGTCAGTAGTTGCTTAGTTCCAACATTGCTGATTCTGCTAAATTACATCAGTGCTAAATTATGCAGATGATGACATTCATCCACGCAACAGTGCATGCATACAATCTCTTCTCTCACTTCATTGGCTACATGCTTGTTCTCTGGAAAAGAAACCGAAAATGTAATAATTTATGACCTGAAATATAAAAACAAAAAACTGTAAAAAAGAGGTACATCACCTACAATGAGCAGAAGGTCATCACAGCATTTTTAACATTAAACTGTGGATTATGAAGAGTTATGCAAAGTTAGTAACAAGGAAGAGATGGTTCATTTAATGAAAGATGTTTGTTCTCCAGGATTACTCCTGGAATGAGGACTTTCCTTCACACTTATAGCACATATCTAAGCTTGATTTATAAATGGAAAGTTTCCATTAGTAAATCTTCTAGTGACAGCTCTGGATAAATAAGAGAGTAGCTTAAATGTCAAATGCACAGCAGTGGAATGTGTCTTCGGCCAAAAGTCAGAAGGCGTTAGGACAGTCAGTGTTTCAATTAAGCTTCATGTTTCAGCATTTAAAAATAGTCTAAACTGCAACCCTTTATGTATAGAAAACGAACATGTTACAAATGAGTCGTTCTGCAACAAAAATGAAAACACAAAAAATATTAGCTGCAATTAATAGGAGATAAAATGTATGTAACCCTAGCAATGATATTTATTTATTTATTTTTTTTTTTTATTTATTACAGGTACTTATATAGTGCTATCAATTTACGCAGCGCTTTACATATATATTGTACATTCACATCAGTCCCTGCCCTCAGGGAGCTTACAATCTAAGGTTCACAACTCACATTCATACATACGCATACTGTGGCCAATTTAGACAAGGGCCAATAAACCTAGCAGCATGTTTTTGGAATGTGGGAGGAAACTGGAGTACTCGGAGGAAACCCATGTAGGCAAAGGAAGAACATATAAACGTCAGGCAAATAGTGTCATAGTGTCAGAGCTGTTCTATGTCCTGTGCATATCTGTCTGTATTATCTGGATGAGAACACCCTAGTTCTGATCCTGGACTACAGAACAATTAGGTTTGATGTTGTGGAGCTGAGGAGACTGGGAACGATTCAGTAGTTTAGCAAAAGACAACTGGGCATGGCTGAAGGCTTTCAGTCCACAATAAAGCTTTGTGTTCTTGGCTCCAAATAGGAATTTAGAAGATGAGTGAAGTTCCAGCAGATCAACAGGTAGTAATAGTGATAGAAATTGACTTAATGTGACTGTATTGCAGTGAGGTACCACATACACTCTATTGCCAAAAGTATTGGGATGCCTGCCTTTACATGCACAACTTTAATGGCATCCCAGTCTTAGTCTGTAGGGTTCAACATTGAGTTGGCCCACCCTTTGCAGCTATAACAGCTTCCACTCTTCTGGGAAGGCTGTCCACAAGGTTTAGGAGTGTGTCTATGGGAATGTTTGACCATTCTTCCAGAAGTCATTTGTGAGGTCAGGCACTGATGTTGGAGGAGAAGGCCTGGGTTCTAGGTATCCGCTCTAATTCATCCCAAAGGTGTTCTATCAGGTTGAGGTCAGAACTCTGTGCAGGCCAGTCAAGTTCCTCCACCTTAAACTCATTCATCCATATCTTTATGGACCTTGCTTTGTGCACTGGTGCGCAGTCATGTTGGAACAGGAAGGGGGCATCCCCAAACTGTTCCCAAAGAGTTGGGAGCATGAAATTATCCAATATGTCTTGGTATGCTGACACCTTAAGATTTCCCTTCACTGGAACTAAGGGACCAAGCCCAACCCCTGAAGAACAACCCCACACCATAATTCCCCCTCCACCAAACTTTACACTCGGCACAATGCAGTCAGGCAATTACCATTCTGGCAACCGCCAAACCAAGACACATCCATCAGATTGTCAGACAGAAGCATGATTCGTCACTCCAGAGAGAACACGTCTCCACTGCTCTAGAATCCAGTGGCAGTGTGGTTTACACCACTGCATCCAACGCTTGCATTGCACTTGATGATGTAAGGCTTGGATGCAGCTGCTCGCCCATGGAAACCCATTCTATGAAGTTCTCTACACACTATTGTGCTAATCTGAAGGCCACATGCAGTTTGGAGGTCTTTAGCTTTTAATTCTGCAGACACTTGGCGACTTCTGGCACTGTACGCTTCAGCATGCGCTGACCCCTTTCTCTGTCATTTTACGTGGCCTTCCATTTCATTGCTGTTGTTCCCAGTTGCTTCCACTTTGTTATAATTCCACTAACAGTTGACCGTGGAATATTTAGTAGCAAGGAAATTTCACGGATGGATTTATTGTACAGGCGGCAACCTATCACGGTAACAAACTTGAATTCACCAAGCTCCTGAGAGCAACCCATTCTTTCACAAATGTTTGTAGAAGCAGTCTGCATGCTTAGGTGTTTGATTTTTACACCTGTGGCCATGAAGGTGATTGGAACATCTGAACCCAATTATTTGGAGGAGTGTCCCAATATAGTGTATTTTTTTATTTATTTTGCCTTGCCATGAACTTTATAATGGCTTTAAGGCTTTAATACTCTGCCATAATTACACAAAGGTTTCATCTTTGTCCCCGTTGTAGTTAGAAGTTTTTGCTGATGTAGCCCCTAGGCTTAGTGCAGAAATGCAAGGCTTTTATTGACAATCAAAAACCGACCAAAACAAAAGGCGCTATTTTGACTGATCTTCAGCTGACAAATAGTTACATTGCAAATGTTGTAAGCTCAGTTAAATTGCAATAATATTCTAGGCACATTCATCTCAAGGTGGAAGAGAGATGGTCGCCAATCACTTTAAAGTTAGACTCCTATAGGGCTTTTTCATTAGTGCATAGAGAATAATAGGAAGGAGGGTGGAGGGAGTACAGGATACCTGCGGGTTTTCTACATAAAGCACAGTCTTTATTCTTTTGTACATCTTTCTAAATTTTCTTGCCCCTCTCTAACAGAATTATAGTGGCTGAACACATAAACATAGGACATGACTCATTAGCAATTGAGCTTCAAGTGGTATCTCAATCTTTATTTGCCAAGCAGGACACTATTAAAGGTGCCTGTTTCTACGTTCCATTCAACCATCCTCTCACCATCTCTTTTGTTGATACTGTAGGTCAGAACAGGACATAATTGCAAAAAACATCTTCAGGGTTTCCTCACAGGAGGGAAGATTCATGCAGTGCTCCAAACCCTAGGTCCTAAGGCCTGGGAGAGAGTTCTCCTGAATGCATCCTAACCAGGCAGGAGTTCAAGCAGGAAGATCACATGCCAGGAAGTACCTCAAACATTTATTATCTTCTCAAACAGTTCACTGTGTCCTTCTAAATCATTACTCCTCCAAAACCCAAATGCCATCATTGTGAACATAGTAGGGGTGCTACATGCTTGCTTCTCCCTTGCTATGGGGATACTAGCCCACATCAAAAAACAACAAACACAAATTCCTAGCTCACTTACCAGCCAGCCTGCAACAGATCAAAATACCCTGTCTAACAGTACATGTTAAAACAAAGGGTTTAGTTTGCACACATTTTCTAATACACTATTTGTGTAAGCCGCAGAGGCCACTGCATAGCACCCTAGTTTCTGCAGTCTTAAGTCTATAAATGCTGAGAGTCTCCAAAGTTGGACCACATATCTATGTTGCAACCTCCTAGCGGAGCTAGGGGCAGCTAGACCCTAATAGTTAGACAGGAGCTGCTAGCAGCTCAGGTGTAATAGCCAGAAGAGTCAAATTGTGGTCAGGGCTGAGAGACTCTGCAGACCAGCCCCTCTGGAATTTCCCCCTGCTCTGAGGTTTTTGAAGAAGGGCCTTGAAGGCAGTGGATGGATCTGAGGAGTGGCTGGCTGCACTCTTGAGGGACCTCAGCCAAGTAGCAGCAGCCATCCCGCAAGTGGTACAGGAGAGGATCTGAGCAGATAGGGGAAAAGAGCACTCTGGTGGGAAACCAGATTATCCCCTTGCTAGTAACTGTGCACCTTATGCAAAGAAACAGGAACCGGATTCCCTGCTCAGGAAGAAAGTCACCAGATTTCTGGCTGAAGAGGAGTTCATCTAGGGTCTGTGGTGGTAAAACTAGGAGCTGCTGGCTAGCACTCCACTAGTGACTGTGTTGCTGAAGGAGAGAAGCTTGTGAATAGTTCAGGAAATTGTCCTCAAATATCAGTTCCCTTGGGCATCCTATACACCCTTACCCTATCCAAGGTCTAATCTCATCAATAAATACCAAAACCAAAGCTCAAGGGCTGGTTTCTGTCTCTGGATGAAAGTATGTTTAGAAAATGCTGAATGACTGTCTGTGCATTACTATAGGGGGACCCAAATTCATCAGCAATCCCTAAGGGGGTAGTGCTACATATAATAATGGATAGATACAGGGCAGGTATGCCTGGAGGAAGTCCACCCAACTTAAAGGTATAGGACACCCAGCAATAGCACAATGGCAGCGAAAGAATCCAGTGCACCCCTTCACAACAGTGCAAACAAAAGGCAACTACCCCAACCTATAAATGGCCTTTGCAGAAAGGAGCACATAGAAGGGCAACGCATGTCAAAAAACATTAAATACAATTTTCAGCTCACTTACCAGTCAGCCTGCAACAAACTGAATTACTCTGTCTAACAGTTTATGTTAAAACAAGGGTTTTGCCTGGTGTTAGGCTGTTTGGTTTTGGGAGGGGTAAATCCATTATTTTTAAAAAAAACGTTTTTAATAAAAAAAAATGGCACATTTCTCTTAGTGTTAAAATTGTTTATAAACACATAAGAGGCATGGAGGAGCTCAGCTATGAGGAAAGATTAGGGGAACTGAATTTATTCTCTCTTGGGAAGAGGAGATTAAGGGGGGATATGGTCAACATGTATAAATACATCAGTGGTTCATATAGTGAACTCGGTGTAGAGTTATCCACCTTGAGGTCATCACAGAGGACAAGGGGGCACTCTTTACATCTGGAGGAAAAGAAATGTAGTCTCCAAACACGGAAAGGTTTCTTCACAGTAAGAGCTGTGAAAATGTGGCATAGACTCCCTCAAGAGTTGGTTCTGGCCAGCTCAGTGGATTTCTTTAAAAAAGGCCTGGATTCTTTCTTGGATACACAGAATATAACTGCTTACTATGTATAGGTAAAGTTGATCCAGGGAATGTCATATTGCCTCTCAGGGGATCAGGAAGGAATTTTTTCCCCTGCAGGAGCAAATTGGATCATGCTTTGCTGGGTTTTTTTTGCCTTCCTCTGGATCAACTGTGGGTATAGGATTATAGCTTTTTTTATGGTTGAACTGGATGGACTTTTGTCTTTTTTTCAGCTAGACTAACTATGTAACTATAAACACAGTTCCAGCACCCTGAAGAGCATGTTGGCAAATGAATGAAAGGTTATGCCTGTTATTTACCAAGATTCACCAAAACATTCCCTCCAAGATACAACCAGAAATAAGAAAATAACTTCTACTCTATTTTTAATATTCACATCACATTCCACTTGGTAACATTTGATTAGGCAAGATTCTCCCATCAGCTGCCTGCATAATAAATGGAGTGAATTTTGGCAGAAACTGATGTATCAATCATGTTAATTATCAAAACAAATATTTGGGTCAAATGTTCACTGGGCAAATCTTTGATAAATATACCCCTTAGGGCAGTGATGGTGAACCTTTTAGAGACTGAGTGTCCAAATTGCAACCCAAAACCCACTTATTTATCTCAAAGTGCCAACACTGCAATTAAACCTGGATACTGAGGTTTTAGTTTAGAAAAAACAACCCATACATTAAAATCTTTTGTCTTAAAAGAAAAACACAATAACAGAGCTTCCACTGACCAACAGCACAAGGGGGCAAAGTTCCACTGACCACCAGCACAAGGGAGCAAAGTTCCACTGACCACCAGCACAAGGGGGCAAAGTTCCACTGACCACCAGCAAAGGGGAAAAAGTTCCACTGACCACCAGCACAAGGGACCAAGGTTCCACTGACCACCAGCACAAGGGGGCAAAGTTCCATTGACCACCAGTACAAGGGGGCAAGGTTCTACTGACCACCAGCACAAGGGGGCAAAGTTCCACTGACCACCAGCACAAGGGGGAAAGGTTCTACTGACCACCAGCACAAGGGGGCAAAGTTCCACTGACCACCAGCACAAGAGAGCAAAGTTCCACTGACCACCAGCACAAGGGGGCAAAGTTCCACTGACCACCAGCAAAGGGGAAAAAGTTCCACTGACCACCAGCACAAGGGACCAAGGTTCCACTGACCACCAGCACAAGGGGGGCAAAGTTCCACTGACCACCAGTACAAGGGGGCAAGGTTCCACTGACCACCAGCACAAGGGGGCAAAGTTCCACTGACCACCAGTACAAGGGGGCAAGGTTCTACTGACCACCAGCACAAGGGGGCAAAGTTCCACTGACCACCAGTACAAGGGGGCAACGTTCCACTGACCAGCAGCACAAGGATGCAAGGTTCCACTGACCACCAGCACAAGCTAAAATGTAGTGTTAATAAAAACTAATGTATTAAAACTCACAGCCAGTCCTTGGCAGTGTACTGACTGGCCATGCGAAAGCTTGGACGAGTCGCAGCTAATGAGTTGCGGCTCGTGAATTGCTGCTACTCCTTTCCGAGCATGTGCATGGCCCCTATGTGTGCTGGTATCTTATGCTTGGCTGCTGGGGCGTTGCTGGGGCAACTTGGCTCACTTGCCGACAGAGAGGGCTCTGTGTTTCCCCGCTGTGGCACTTGTGCCATAGGTTTGCCGCTACTGCCTTAGGGCTTTTAAAAGCATTGTACATCCACAAATGTATTTTCTTTTTTATGTTTTGTTTGATGCACACCCTACACTAGTTCATGAAGCTAACAAAATGTAGAAGATGTTCTATGACCATATAAAAGCAGAAGGCTGCAGGTCAAGTGTTTTATACAGAGATGTCTAATTTAACTTCATACCATGCATAGTGATAAATACACATGTATTCACCTCCTTAATAAAAAGGATGAGCTATTGTCATGTTGTCATTTATAATACCAGTAGTGGGTAAGAGTCACAGAGAGTTGTGGCTGACGACAGCACAAAGGATATTTTAAGCCGCCAGTGTCAGTTTAGTGGAGGGTTCTGCAAAGCTGACATGTTCCAGAATAGAGTCCTAAGACCTTCTAGACAATTATAGCAATTTCTATTTAACAAAAAAAGTATTATTTTAGGACCAGTATGTCTGAATTTTATTTACATAAAAGAACAAATATTAAAGTATAAATTTTAAAAAATAGTGTAGCGCTGCCATGATTAATAATAATATTTACACATTACCCATGTATACTAGAATCATTAAATTAAATATATATACACATGTGATTATAATTAAAATATATCCTTAAGTGTGTGATGTATCAAAATAAA